GCGGAAGTGCTGCCTTGGTATCTTGTGCATAGAGGTCTGCAGGTGCCCGGAGAGGAAGTGGGCAGTGAAGAAGACCGCGGCCATAGCTGGCCAGTGAGGTAGACGACGGCGGCCATAACTAGGAGGAGGAAGACGACGGCGGCCAAAGCCACCCAGCTGTTGGTGTAGACAGGCTGTGTAGAGTGTGTGTGACTCTGGAGCGTGGACATTCAGGGTGATCCTCGTACGTGCGCGCATGTGAGAGTGAGGGAGAGTGAAGCTGGTGGTAGAGAGTGTCCGGCGGCCATAGCCGCAAGTTGTACAGTTGTTCTGAACAGAGTTTAAGAGCAAGTTCGTTGCTGATTCTGAGTTGACGAGTTTGGTTTACCATCAGTTCTTGTGTATGCATGTTGTGAGCAAGTCCAGAGTCGAGTCTGATTGCACCAACTCAGATTTGAAAAAAAAATCAGTGGACATTTTTTTTTTTTTTACTGGTCGGCAGACCACCGACCGGTCGGCTGCAATACAGTCGGCGGTCGGGGTCGGCGGTCGGCAGGGATGCAACCCTGCTGGGGACCCCAGAAAAAAAATTCGAATTTTCTAGAAATGGGGCCCAACTGGACCCCCTAAACCGGACACCGGATCCGGACATCCAGACCGGACCGTCTGGATCCCGATCCGGACGTCCGGTTAACAACCACGGTTGGTTCCCTATTGAAGATTTTAAAATGAAGCTACTGCTGAGACTGCAGCTCGTGCACTAGATTTACTTATACTCTCTGTATTTCTTTTTTCTCCTCTTCTCTCCTGATCAGTGACGATGTTGCGATTTACTTGCAGGACGCAGTAGTGGTCGTTGGATATCCAATCGGCGGCGACACTATCTCCGTGACAAGTGGCGTTGTCTCCCGAATTGAGGCAAGTATGCAGTGAACAATGAATACCTATGGCTGCCTGTTTTGTCGCAATTTAATAAACCAATTGATTCACCTTTCCCCTACCCCTCCCCCCCCCCCCCCCCCAAAAAAAAAAAAAAAAAAACACCTTCGTTTAACCAAAGAATTGGTTTGGGACTTTGGGCTCAAGATTTAGGTCTTCTCCTCTCCCCCCCCCCCTCCTCTTCTGAATAGATGCTATGGATCCACCTCGTAATATCATTCAAGAATGGTTCAGCCTTTCAGATAAACACAGACAAACAAACAAACAAACAAACAAACAAACAAACAAACAAACAAACAAACAAACAGACAAACAAACAAACAAACAATTGCTTTGTCAGTCTTAATTAATTTCTAGTAAGTTTCTTGAAGTTTCTTCTTTTTATAAGTACAAGGGGACCCGCCGCGGCTCCGCACGCGGCGAAGAGGGGGGATGTGGATGAAGAGGTCGGAGTCCCCAGGCGCGCGCAGACCCCTCTCTCTCTCTCTCTCTCTCTCTCTCTCTCTCTCTCTCTCTCTCTCTCTCTCTCTCTCTCTCTCTCTCTC